GAGGGGACAGTAGTAATACCCACGCCATCAGTCGTGTGGCATGGGACTCTGTGGTTCAGCCTAAGGTTGGGGGAGGGCTTGAAATTGTGGACCCTCCTACGCAGTTTCAGGCTCTGAGTATCCACAGGATCCAACACATCTTTGAAACCTCCTCCCCCTGGGTTCCCTTGGCACTAGTGCAGATCGCGGCCTTGGCCCCGGAAACCCCATCAGAAATAGACCCTCTCATATGGCTCGAGAACAGGTACTGGAGACTCCCAAGGAAATACAGGAATGGGGACCCGGTGGACGAACACTGGATACGCCTTCTGCGCACGTGGAGGAGACTCTCACTCCTCGACCGCCCCACCCCGGACGGATGGGAGGAGCTAATTAGGCAACCGCTGTTCGGTAATAGACTAATCACAGATTCCCTCGGACAGGTAAAAAACAGCTCGGACTCCCCCTGGAAATTTTGCGTGAAACACGGGGTGCTGAGGGTGGGGGACCTATGGGATGGGGAAAACGGAGAATGAAAAAGTGTCGCAAGAATGAAAAGTTGCTTGCGCTACTGCCACTCCCTCGAGTCTACAATGGAAGAACTTACTGAAAGCTTTCCTATTCAATGGTACACCAAGCGTAAGAAGGGTCCAACGCTGGAAATAGACGATTGGGTGGAGCTACCCGGCCATGAATCACAAGTAGGCCTCGTGCACCTAGTAGATCAGACACAAGTCCTGGTTGAATGTTACGTTGTTACAGAATCAGGGCGGCTACAAGGGAATAGCCAACCCTGCACCTCGAAAAGAAAATCAGAAGTCTATCGCATCAGGGTGTTAGAAGAAGGAAAAGGTTGGAGAACGTATCGAGCATTGATCCCGATCGAGAACCTCCCCCTTGATCCCCAAGAATGGAGATGGTCGTGGAAAGGAAAGGGAGGGCGGGGACGGGGGGGAGGAAACAACGGTCCAATTAGCCGCTCTAAAAACGAAGTCCGTCTACCGGATGCTCAGGCCCAAGCGTGGGCTACGGGATGTGGTGGTGGACAGATGGCAGCGCCATCTAAATGTAGATCGAAGCACACTCAAATCTATCCAATTGTTCAACGAGTATCGCAAAAGGCCGACAAAAATCTCCGCTCTTCAATGGCAAATCACTCACCGTTGCCTACCGACCAATAACTGGCTGATTGATCATACACAGCTCGAGCAACAAGGAAGGGCGCTCCCCTGGTGCCAAGGTTGCTACCAAAACTTCCCCGAAAAAATGCGCCCGGAGACGGTTGAGCACATCTTCTTATAATGCCTTGCGGCTGTCCTGCTGTGGAGATGGTGGGATAGGATCTAGCGGCATACCGTCCCAGGCTCACTATGGCCTTGGGACTGGAGGGCAATTCTGCTGGGACACTACCCTCCCTTTTGCGACAATACCTTTGTAGCAAATATGTTCTCCCTGGGCCGGCATACAGTCCTCTAAACCATATGGTGGCGAAGAGGCATCCTGGAATTGGAAGGGGCCAGGGTAGAAGAGGGGGAGGTCACAAAACAGATACGGCTGCTCTTCCAACATGAGATCATGGCACAATGGCACAACGTTAAGGAAAAACTGAGTCCGGTGCACAGCAGGGGGGATATCAAAAGCATCATCTCCCGCTTCTGTAAAGGCTGGCTGGGGGGGGAGAGGGAGGGCTGGGTCGCGAGGGTGAGCTGGACAGGAGACATGCTGGACCATGGGAAAGGACAAGAGGGAGACCTGGAAAGAGATTATCAGCTTCTCTTTAAGGACTGGACATGGGTGGATCCCAGAGAACAGCTGAGACCTGCGCAGGATTTTGGCGATTCCTTTCCTCCTTACCCTTTGGCCCTGGAGGAATATTTGGGGGCTTAGAGTCATTTTAATCACTCAAACGTGGCATGGCAGGGGATTCCTTGCAGTTTTGCAGTACCTCTCAGTATTTTTCAGTACTCTCCAGTATTTTTCAGTATTTCTCAGTATGTGTTGGGAGGATCCTTTGAGGATCTTTTGTAAGTATCTGTCCTAGTAATTCTCAGTATTCTGCAGTATTCCTCAGGATTCTCTGCTTGACTGCGGGATATTAGACGCTGGATTTGGTTTCTTAAGAGGTATTCTATTTTAAAACATAGGGCTGAATTTTCAGCACATGATTCCTAGTATACAATGGATGCCATGGGGAAGTAGGTGGTGGGCAGGGGCTGGGTGAAGGAGGGAGATTCCACTGGTGCCCCCCGGTGGCCCTCCCCCCAACACCCGACGGTGCCTTAGGTTAGGAAGGGAGGTAAAGCTTTGGTATGGGACGCTGGACCCGGTTTCCAGCAAAGTGGTGTCATTTTCAAAATAGAGGATTGGTAAAGAATTTGATGTATTCAAGGGACGCTGGACCCGACTTCCAGCAGGTGATGCTCCCCACCAATAGACGGAGCAGCACTTTGTAAAAAAAAGAAAAAAGGTGGGCGGTGGGGGGTGGCGCAGGGCCCTGGCAGAGAAGCGCCAAGAAGCAGAAAAAAAATAAATAAATTTGTGGGTTGTCGGTAACAACCCACATACCAGTGATACCACCTATACCAACCCAACC